TCTGGATTCCTTTTACTTTTCTGCTCTGATTGCTGTGGCCAACACTTCCAAAACTATGTTGAATAGTAGTGGTGAGAGTGGGCACCCTTGTCTTGTTCCTGATTTTAGGGGAAATGCTTTCAATTTTTCACCATTGAGGGTAATGCTTGCTGTGGGTTTGTCATATATAACTTTTATTATGTTGAGGTATGTTCCTTCTATTCCTGCTTTTTGGAGAGTTTTAATCAAAACCTCGAATAGCCAAAGTGATCTTGAGAAAGAAGAATGGAACTGGAAGAATCAACCTGCCTGACTTCAGACTATACTACAAAGCCACAGTCATCAAGACAGTATGGTACTGGCACAAAGACAGAAATATAGATCAATGGAACAGAATAGAAAGCCCAGAGATAAATCCACAATCCTATGGACACCTTATCTTTGACAAAGGAGGCAAGGATATACAATGGAAAAAAGACAACTTCTTTAACAAGTGGTGCTGGGAAAACTGGTCAACCACTTGTAAAAGAAACTAGAACACTTTCTAACACCATACACAAAAATAAACTCAAAATGGATTAAAGATCTAAATGTAAGACCAGAAACTATAAAACTCCTAGAGGAGAACATAGGCAAAACACTCTCCGACATAAATCACAGCAGGATCCTCTATGACCCACCACCCAGAATATTGGAAATAAAAGCAAAAATAAACAAATGGGACCTAATGAAACTTAAAAGCTTTTGCACAACAAAGGAAACTATAAGCAAGGTGAAAAGACAGCCCTCAGGTTGGGAGAAAATAATAGCAAACGAAGCAACAGACAAAGGATTAATCTCAAAAATACACAGGCAACTCCTGAAGCTCAATTCCAGAAAAATAAATGACCCAATCAAAAAATGGGCCAAAGAACTAAACAGACATTTCTCCAAAGAAGACATACAAATGGCTAACAAACACATGAAAAGATGCTCAACATCACTCATCATCAGAGAAATGCAAATCAAAACCACAATGAGGTACCATTACACGCCAGTCAGGATGGCTGCTAACCAAAAGTCTACAAGCAATAAATGCTGGAGAGGGTGTGGAGAAAAGGGAACCCTCTTACACTGTTGGTGGGAATGCAAACTAGTACAGCCGCTATGGAGAACAGTGTGGAGATTTCTTAAAAAAAAAAAAACTGGAAATAGAACTGCCATATGACCCAGCAATCCCACTTCTGGGCATACACACCGAGGAAACCAGATCTGAAAGAGACACATGCACCGCAATGTTCATCGCAATACTGTTTATAATAGCCAGGACATGGAAGCAACCTAGATGCCCATCAGCAGACGAATGGATAAGGAAGCTGTGGTACATATACACCATGGAATATTACTCAGCCATTAAAAAGAATGCATTTGAATCAGTTCTAATGAGATGGATGAAACTGGAGCCCATTATACAGAGCGAAGTAAGCCAGAAAGATAAAGAACATTACAGCATACTAACACATATATATGGAATTTAGAAAGATGGTAATGATAACCCTATATGCAAAACAGAAAAAGAGACACACATGTACAGAACAGACTTTTGGACTCTGTGGGAGAAGGCGAGGGTGGGATGTTTTGAGAGAACAGCATCAAAACATGTATATTATCTATAGTGAAACAGATCACCAGCCCAGGTTGGATGCATGAGACAAGTGTTCGGGCCTGGTGCACTGGGAAGACCCAGAGGGATTGGGTAGAGAGGGAGGTGGGAGGGGGGATGGGGATGGGGAACACATGTAAATCCATGGCTGATTCATGTCAATGTATGACAAAACCCACTACAATATTGTAAAGTATTTAGCCTCCAACTAATAAAAATGAATGAAAAAAAAAAAGACAGCAGCTTTCCGCATATATGCCTATATATACTTACTCTTTTCTTGGGTTAGGGCAGCAGCTCACTAATCTGACTGCTGCCCCTTCTCGCCTCATTAAAAGTGATCTGTTCCTATAAAGTGCCAGTCTCGTTCTTTTTCCAAACCCCGCCTTCTCTAACTCCCTTACCCTACAATTCTAATGTGCATCCAGGGTGCACATTTCATCTTTGCGCCACTGTTTGGAGTTATCCAAACCTGTCGTATCTTTATACATCTCACCATTTTACCTCCTTAACTCAGGCCCCATTTAACAACTGGAAGAACCATCTCCCAATAACACTCAGCACAAGCAAATGGCTTCCCTAAGACTTTTACCTAAAGTTTCTGTTTTTGCATATTGAAAGTTAGTAAGATAGATAAATATTAGAGAAAAGGGAACCCTAGTACATAGTTGATGAGAATGTAAGTTAGCAATCACTATGGAAAACAATATGGGAGTTCCTTAAGAAATAAAAGCAGAACTACTGTACGATCTGCTTGAAAATTTTTATTCCCTGAACACATTCTCCTGTCACCTAGTTCTTTGGGCATAACTATGCTATACTGCTTATCAGGATGTATTTTAACTGTTTAAGTGCATGTCTTCATCTCCACTAAGGCAATTTGAGAGCAGTGTTGACTTTTATTCACCTTGTCAGAACCTAGCACTAACTCAAATTCATGGTCAAGATTTTTTAAATGCACAAACCTGATCAAGTATAAACTATGCCTTGAGGCTTTTAAATCTAGTATTTTTCATTGGGATATATCACTTGCTAAAAAATCCTCCAGATACTTTGGCTCTGAGAGTCTGCACATTCCTCATTCCTTAGCCCAGGGAACACAATTCTGGTTAAAATACAGAAGCAAGATCTCTCAGCAGACCACAGACCCTTTACTTATTTAACTTCTTAGGGAGGCTGTTCCTCATTTGTAAAATGCAAATTGCTGATGCTCCTTCCACTGTGAGCAAAAGCCTACACATCAGGAGTTTACATTCTTCTCCAAATGATATCTGATGACCACTTCCCTGTTTGAACGAAGGAGTTAGGAGTTAAAAATAAGTACTGTACACATCAAGTTTTACCACATTTTAATTAGTAAAACAAAATAAAATGAAAACAGGCATAGCCATGTCTCAACAGAAGAAGTAAATATCATTTTATATGACAAAATGCCATCCGCTATGACACATTTCCAATAATTCTGACAATTATCTTTCACAACATTTTGCAAAATTCTAAGGAAAATTACAAATTGGAGATTTACTCTACACCTACATACCTATCTGAGTACAATTTGTGTGAAAAACACCCTGAAGGCTTTACTTGACCCAGATGTTGACGCTGAACATCAGAGTTCTTCCCTCCACACTTCTAAGATGCTAGCATAGCAACTCCACTGCAGCTCACTACCAACACAGACCAAACTACAGGGAAACACAGGCACAAAGAGGAATTAAAAGATGTTTGTGGTAACATCAATGCAATTTCTTATTTATGTGCACTAAGCATAAAAGTGTATCAGTATTCCAAAGCAAGAAAACACAATTTGGAGTTAGTCCAACCCAAATGAGGCGTCTTCAAACCTGGCGGAAAAAAAGAAAAAAAGGGTTATTACCAAATACATTTATTTTATTTAGATTACAGATAGCACCACCAAACTTATCTAACTTGTACTGTATATAAATCATTCTTGGTAAAAGTAGTACCTGCAGGCGATTTTCCAGATGAATTAAAACAGTGTAACCTACTGGTTTATCCCACTGGTTCACTAACAACATTGCAGAAAAGAATACTGGTATCAAAGTTGAGATCCTAACCCCAACACTGAGTAACTGTATGACGCTGGGCAGGGCAGCCAAACTCTCTGATGCTCTGGCAAATTAACTTCCCTGTCCTACAGTGCAACAGGAAATCTGAATAGGTTTTCCATGCCAGGATACACTGAGTAATAAAATTCCCCAGAAAAGCTGGATTATCTGCCTCTGGCCTCCACCTGAAGTGGCAGAGAAGTCCAATCCCTCCCTGTTTCACAGCTAGAGCCAGGTGCTAGAGCTGCAATACATCTGTTACAGCGTCTTCACACTGAGTTACGACAGTCTTGTTACCACTTCTCTCCTCTGTTGGACTGGGAGCTTAGAGACCCAACTACAGTGCCCAGACACTTAGGAATGGTGTCTCTGCAGAACCATGTCACTCTTCTCTTCAGGCTATTTAGCAAAGAGCTGCCACGCAAAGGAAAGGACACTTCACCTTTGAAGGCCCAGAGATGCCCAACGTGCAAATGGCAGAAGAGCAAACACTTGCAGGTGCTGTGGGTAACAGCTGCCTCTGCCTGTAGCCCCACACCTGCAGCTCCTCTGTCCTCCCTTTAGAGGGTGAGTGATGCTGGGAAAGTCACACCCAGGGCCACGGCCTTCCTCATCGCCCCCCCTTCTCAGGGGCAGGGAATGGGACCCCGTGGGATTCTTCTCTGCCTGCTGAATTGTTACCCTGATTAATGTCTTCCAGACTGCGAGGCTTATCACATTAGAGCTGTCTGTAATGGTCCCCAGGATACTCATATTACAATAGGGTTTCTTAAGGTTAGAGACCCACCTTGATGGTGCTGCTTACAGGTTTCGATCTATGAAAAAGAAAAATCAGAGAAAGAAAACAGTTAAGTTTGACTTCTGAAATGCTGCGTACTACAAAAGTCTCAAGTTGTTATAAACAAAGCTGGCAGAAGAGCCAGTGAAGAAAAACCTAGACGTTTCCTACCAGCCTGAGATCCCAAGCAATCCAGAGAACTAGAGGAGGCCAGGGTTGGAGGGCCCCACCGTAGCAGGGCTTGCACACAAAGGCCCCTGCCTTCCGGAGACCCTCCTTGGTCCTGGGTGTGCCCGAGGCGGTCAGGAGAGCCAAGGGGGCCACAGGGAGGAAGCCTTGGGAGTGCCTGTGCATGTGCTGATGCTCCCTGCTCTCACTGCAGGGAAACCACTGTCTCAGCGACCACGCTGTGCCCAGCTCTCTCAGAGGCTGCCACTGCGCAGAGCTTTAACAACATTCCCTGATAATCCCAGCATGCAGATGTTTTTATATCAAAGCAGCTTTATGCCACGGCTGCGCTCACATACAACCGTCAGTGGTTAACCAAAGACCTTGAAAACTTACCCCAGTTAATTACCCGGGGTTGTGGGTAAGTGACGTGAGTCACTCGGCAGCTATAGCGGTCCTCGCTGTTGGGGGTGAACTCGGCGTGGGACAGCAGGTAGAAAGACCAGTCCTTGCTGAAGGACAGGTCTGACTGCTCTGATTCCATCCGCTCCCCATTCCTCAGCAACTCGATCTCAATCTGGGGCGGATGGAACCCGTACACGTAGCAGTTCAGGTGATTTGGCTTCCCATCCTCCGGCGGGTGTCTCGAGTACACTTGAATCTTTGGGACACCTGAGGAGCGGCAGGGAAGACAGATGAGACTGCAGAGTGTTCCACGTGGGGGGACCTTGGTCTGAAGCTAGGTCAGGCGCCAGACGTCTACACTGGATCCTCCATTTCCCCCAATTCCACTTTCCCTCAGGCCAAATGACCTTCATTTTTGCAAATGGCCTCCTGCAGTTTGTGGGATAGACCATGACTTAGTATCTTTCCCACATAATTCCCCTACACATGCCTTTCAGGCTTTTTCTAGCAGATTTCTAGTAACATCTTTTTCTGTCAGTGGATATTGTGCTGTATCTTTTAACAGTTGTGTGCGGAGGCTCTCAAGGAGGTTTCATGGCTCCTCAGCACATAGAATCGATATCACTCAAGAGTCTACATGATTTGGCCCCAGTCTACTGATTGAGCCTCGTTTCTCACTTCACACACCCTCCAGGGTGGCCACATCAAAAAACTCCCTTATTGCACCCTCTTTCAGCCCCCGTCAATTATTTTCTTTACACTTACTTCTTTCTTCCTGGTCTCTTGTCTAGATGCACACCCACCAGACTTCTCAATAGGTGCCTAGTACAGTGCCCTGCACACTGCAGCTGCTTGGTAAATAAATGGCAGGTGTCATTATTGTTACCTCCTTGCTCAGGTTCCTAACAGAATCAACCCAAAGTATATTTCTACAGAACACAACCTCTTCATCACGTCTGGCGTTTATAGGACAAATCTCCATCTGATTGTGTACCTGATTTCATGAGCCAGACAACAAAGAAATAAAAGTGAAACACCTACAGGAGCTGGAAAACACCTGAGATGAGTGGGCTGGGCTGGGTGAGAACAACAGGGAAGAGTGGGGACTGTGGCAGATGGGAAAGATTATACTCTCTGTTAGGACCAAGTGGATTAATGCATGTGACAGTGGAATCTGCATTTTTAATGAGCATGGTTAAGTGACTTCCATAATCTGCCAGGTTGAGAATATTATATATTGCTTCAGGACAGGTGGATTCCAAAATGAAATGCGTGTTGAGACCCTCCATGAGAATGTGGAAGGAAATATTATAAGCTCTATATCTATATTTTTCTAGGTGAACTGTTAATGCTACTAAATATACAGACTGCTATGAATATATGTATATAATCCACTTAAATACAGATACACTCAGGGGACATGATCGCAAAGGTCAGCTCACGCTCTGCGTCCAGGAGGTACAGAGGAGGGGGAGTCCAGGCCACTGTGACTGGGTGTATCTTCGTAGAATCATCCGATCATCAAAGAAAAGGCCCCTAGTCCCACTAAGCGCTAGACTGGAAATGCTATGAAGCCCTGGTGTTTTCCCATCATTCAAAGTGAAGATAAAACAGAAACCTCTTTATTTGAGCTTCTAATAAGTGACAGTTAAGTCACTCCGTCATGTCTGACTCCTTGCGACCCCATGGACTATAGAGTCCATGGAATTCTCCAGGCCAGAATACTGGAGTGGGTAGCCTTTCTCTTCTCCAGGGGATCTTTCCAACCAGGGATCGAACCCAGGTCTCCCGCGCTGCAGGCGGATCTCTGTAACTAGACCATAATACACACTACAGTACTGAGAGCACAGGTTCATTCCACCTGGAATTCTCCCTTTGAGGGAGCTAGGCAGGTTTGTGCAGGGGGCAGGTTTGCAAGGGTATCACAATAGTAGTTTCCAGAAGAAGGAGATGTATCCAACAGGCCTGGGTTTGAATCGGGCTTCAGCCACTTACTGCTTCTGCATTATGGGGAGAGTTATTTTAGCTTCTGTAGTTTAACTGAAAACTTAATTTACGCCCAGACTGAAATAAAACCTACACAGGGAAAGAGCAGAAGATAGGACACTCCCCTCCCCACCCCCCGCCCCGCCCCAGGAAAGTGAATCACAACTACATGTTTTTTGAATGTCTTCTAGAAATCCCCTGTGTATTTTCCACGCATGTATTACCTTGGAAGTTTTCTAATTAACATACTTTTTAATGTCTGCTTGCTATTTTTTGGAAAGAATTCTATAGCCACAACAAAATATCAATAATAGTGGTAATACAGACATCACGTGTTTTTTTGGCAAATAAATTTTAAATTCCATTTTCAAACGAAAGAGAAATCTGATCTTCAGTGTATTTAGAAGGCACCTAAACACAGTGTCCCTGACAACCTGGGTAAGTGTGTTGATTATTCATCCCTAGTTTTACAACCTTTCTAACTGATAAACCTTCACTTACTCAAAACTGAAAGTAGAGAGACACTTCATCTTGGAAAGAACCAGGCAAGGAGCCAAAGGAGGAAGCCCTTGGTGAACAAAGGCCACAGAGGCCCATGGCTGCCCAGCCTGCTCCCTAGAATCTCACCCCCAGATGATTATGAAAAATGCACAGGTGACACCTAATGGGCGCACCACCTGGCCAAAGGCTCTGGTCAGGCTCTACTGTCTGCCACTGATCCCCTGGGGGTTTAACTTACTTCAACTTCTCAGCCTCCCTTTCCTCTTTTGTGACATCCTGATGATAGGCTGTCTAGGTTGGTCATAACTTTCCTTCCTTTATGACCAACGTAGACAGCATATTAAAAAGCAGAGACATTACTTTGTCCACAAAGGTCCGTCTAGTCAAGGCTATGGTTTTTCCAGTAGTCATGTATGGATGTGAGAGTTGGACCATAAAGAAAGCTGAGTGCTGAAGAATTGATGCTTTTGAATTGTGGTGCTGGAAAAGACCCTTGAGAGTCCCTTGGAATGCAAGGGGACCCAACCAGTCCATCCTAAAGGAGATCAGGCCTGGGTGTTCATTGGAAGGACTGATGTTGAAGCTTAAACTGCAATACTTTGGCCACCTGATGCGAACAGCTGACTCATTTGAAAAGACCCTGATGCTGGGAGGGATTGAGGGCGGCAGAAGGGGACGACAGAGGATGAGATGGTTGGATGGCATCACCGACTCAATGGACCTGGGTTTGGGTAGACTCCGGGAGTTGGTGATGGACAGGGAGGCCTGGCCTGCTGCGGTTCATGGGGTCGCAAAGAGTAGGACACGACTGAGTGAACTGAACTGATGATAGGCGCCGTATTTACATCGCTGACCCCTTTCACAATTAAATGACCCAGCACATAGCGCAGGACAAACAAGCTGTCACCGGGAACCTCTATGATTACTATTAAAAGCGAAGTGTAAGGAGAACAAGAGAATTAACGAGGCGAATCGGTTTGTTAAACCTCAAGGCATTCCACTAAAGTCACCGGAAAATTCCTCATTCTGGTTTGGCCCCTTGTTTGGGGAAAAGTACAGAGGGGCAGGTGAACCTGCCCGGCGCCTGCAGGAAGCTCCACGCCCTCAGGATGCCAGCTGGCCGACATACCCCGGCGGCGACTCCCCCTAAGCCCACGGGTTGTCTCCACCAGTTCGCAGACCCCAACCCTGCCCTCTGGGACCTGCCAGCCCGCACCCCGCCCCCCGCCCCCCGCCCCCCGCTCCAGAGATGCGCGGGGTCGGGGCGGGGGGGAGCCAGAGCCCCGCGAACCAGAGGAAGAGAATCCCTCCCCCACCGCGCCCGGCCTGAACCACATCCGCACCGGGGAACTACGTCCCGACCCACGCGGTACCGTCCGGGCGTGCCAGGGGCTCCCTCCCCACATCCCCGGGAAGTTGGCGACCTGGGATCGCACCCCCTCCCCACTCCCCGCGCACCCCGCCGCTGCCACCGCCCGAGAGGAAGCCGGGTGCTCCTCCACCGAGCTGGGAAGGAAAACTTGGGAGCGGGACCGGGGTGGACAGAGTTAGTGCCCAGGGTGCCAAGCGGGTGTCACCGGGACAGGACGGGCTGGCGGAGGAGGAGAGAGAGGAGAGGACACTCACGCAGGACGGCGTCCAGTCCAGACAGCGACAGCAGCCCGAGAAGGGCCAAGGCCGCGAGGGGAGGCATCCCTGCAGCAGCTGCGCGGGCGGCGGAGTGAGCGGCCGCGGTCCGCGCTCGCCTTTATAGCCCGCACTCAGGCAGCCAATCGGAAGCCTGCCCGCCCGGCCGTCACCAGTCTCCGAGCGAACTAAGCCGGGGCATGTTAGAAACAGGCTTCCCGGTTTTCAGTTTCATTTTCTAATAAGTCTCATGATGCTTAGGAAGGCAGGGTTGGGCTGGGTGCACTCGCTGCCTGTACATCGACGCCCTCTTATCTGGGGTGCGCGCCCAAGCTTGGAGCGCGAACCGCTCACCCTACAACTTCAGTGTGGACGAACCCTCGCTTTTCGGAACAGCACCGACAAGGCTAAAGGACTTGCTTACCGTGCGTGCCACAGCCATTTAGGAGCCTGGCTAGCACCTGGTTTTCAGTTGGGAAAACTGAAGCATAGAACAGTTAAGGGTAAGGACTGAACGGTACTGGGCAGAATCAGAACTCGGTTCGCAATTCCAGCCCAGAAATACATTGCAAGTCTTCGTGGATTCTCTGGGCAAGAAAAGTTTCCAGGAACCGCGAGGCCTCATGGGGCTAGCTCAGAGAACCATCTGGCATGAAGGAAGACCTGCTTGCTTCCTGAACATTTTCCAAAAAGGAAAGGCGTTTCGAAACGTCTGTGCCAAGAAATTCTAGCCTGTATCTTGGAGTTGTAATTTAAGTAATTTGCTTTGCTTTGGTGATTTGTGGAGAAATGACCACTGATAGTAAAAAGTCTCATAAAAGCAGTAGCTGCTTAGAGCATTAGCGTATCTACCGCCTCGAGGGACAATACCCCCTGCGACTTAGCACACTGGAATGGTGATTGGCGCGGACTAAGGTACTTGATGAACTGAATGAATGAGTGTACAGACGAGTGGCTGGTTAAACGCATGAAGGAAGGAACTACTGAACTTGTGAGGGAATACGTGAATAAACCCTAGGATGTAGGAATTACCCCGTTATATTTTTAGGGATAGGAAAACCAAAGGCTGAGGTTACAGACTGGCCTGGTTCTAATGTCATTCGCGCTTCAGACACTTGGAAAGATAGAGGACTGGACAATTTTGGTGAGAATTTGGGTTGCATCTTCTGTGGGCTCAAACAAAGAAGCTAGACCTATAGATTCTAAGAGGGTGTCAGTGTTACAAAGACTCGTTAAGAAAACCCACTCTCCATAGATAACATAAAAAGGAGTTGACATTACCTGGTGGCTGTGTCCAAGGATCATTTCTGGAGTGGAATGCCCAGAAGAGGAAGTGAACCTGGGGCGGAGAGTGGCAGAGGTCTTGGAAATCACCCTGGTGTGCAGTTGAAGGGAGTTGGGTGGTGCTTCCCCAGAGAGCCCAAGACATGTCAGCTGGATTCCTTTCCCCTATTTTTAGACCTTTCAGTAATCCCTGTTGTGGAGCTTGTGTCTACACGAAAGAAAGCAGGTTACTCTCCACAGACCTAATGAAGGGAAGTGTGCACCGAGAGAGCCCCAGGGAGCACCTAGTAAGTGTTCTGTAATGATTAAGAGCTGTGATTATTGGTGCTATTTACCTACTTCTTCTACCAGCTCTCTCTATAGCTCTCTTGAAATAAAAGAATAATTGTCAAACATAATGTCATGAGGAAAGACACTCCTTCCCCTCCCTTTTGTTTGTTTGTTGTTAACTCATTTATGGCTCTTAAGGCCTGTAAAGTTATGACCATCCTAGACAGCATATTAAAAACCAGACATTACTTTGCCAACAAAGGTTGGCCTAGTCAAAGCTATCGTTTTTCCAATAGTCATGTATGGATGTGAAAGTTGGACTATCAAGAAAGCTCAGTGCCAAAGAATTGGTGCTTTTGAACTGTGGTGTTGAAGAAGACTCTTGAGAGTCCTTTGGACAGCAAGGAGATCCAAGCAGTCCATCCTAAAGGAAATCAGTCCTGAATATTCATTGGAAGGACTGATGCTGAAGCTGAAACTCCAATACTTTGGCCACCTGATCCGAAGAACTGACTCATTTGGAAAGACCCTGATGCTGGAAAAGATTGAAGGTGGGAGGAGAAGGTGACGACAAGAGGATGAGATAGTTGGATGGTATCACCAACTCAATGGGCATGAGTTTGAGTAAACTCCAGGAGTTGGTGATGGGCAGGGAGGCCTGGTGTGCTGCAGTCCATGGGGTCGCAGAGAGCTGGGCACCACCTAGCAACTGAACTGAACTGAAGGCTGTGATGTTCGTGTTGAGTTATTTTCTAGTGCCTTCCGGGGATAGGAAGAAAGAGAGCTAGTGGAAACTCCTATAGTCCTTGTTTACCACATCACAGACAAATACCATAATACTTAAAATTCTTACAAGATAGAACCTGATCTATTCACTGACAAAATCTATTTTAAAATCACTTTTTAAAAGAGCAGTGAAGACAGAGATAAGTACATTTTTCAATTACTTTTTTATATTCTCTTACAAGAGCAAACCTCTGGAAATATACAAACATGGCCTTTTGATAGTGTTATCTCCCATGAGCAGGATGAATGAAAGAAATGGGGGTTTTGGCCCTAATGACTTTCCTAAAAAATTTTTTACTGTGTTTATTCACATTCGTAAATATTTTCTAGAATGTGGAAGAAATGGAACTTCATAGTCTTCTGTTGGTAATGTAAAATGGTACATCTGTTTTGGAAAATAGATTAAGTTTTTTTTAAACTTAATCATACCCTGGCCATATGACCCAACCACGCCACTGTAGGTGTTTACCCAAGAGAAAATGAAAGTGTATGTTGATACAAGGACTTGTACAAAACTGTTAAAAGCAACTGTATTGGTAGCAATCAGAAATTGGGAAAAATCCAAAGTTCCATCAACAGGCAAATGGATAAACAAATTATGACAGATATCCATACAATGAAACACTATCAGCAATAAACAACACATGAGTTACTGGTACACACAATAACATGGATGAAATAATTAGGCTGAAAGAAAAAAGTGAGACAATAAATGAGGCTTCCCAGGTTTCATCAGTGGTAAAGAACACGCCTGCCTGTGCAGGAGACATAAAAGATGCGGGGTTTGATCTCTGGGTGGGGAAGATCCCCTGGAGGAGTGCATGGCAACCCACTCCAGAATTCTTGCCTGGAGAATCCCATGGACAGAGGAGCCTGGTGGGCTATGATCCATAGGGTTGAAATAATTAGGCTGCAAGAAAAAAGTGAGTAAAAGAAAAAAAAGATAGGAAAAGAGTAAATGTGCATGATTCTTTGTTTTTAAAATTCTGGGAGAGGCAGCCTAGTCCATGCAACAGAAGCAGGTGGTTGGTGTTCAGGGGTTGGAGGGTGCATCCAGAGCTTAAGGACACTTTGGGCGGATGATGGAGATGTCGTTATCTTGAGTATGATGATGGTTTCTCAAGGGTATACATACTGTGGAACTTATTAAATCATATACTCTGAGTGCAATTTATCATATGTCAATTATACCTCAATAATCTTTAAAAAACAATCTGGACTTGCCTGGTGGTCCAGCACTTTAGGAATCCACCTGCCAACGCAGGGGACACAGGTTCAATCCCTGGCCAGGGAAGACCGCTCAAGCTTCCGGTCACAACTACTGAAGCGGGCATGCCCTAGACACCATGCTCCACAACAAGAGAAGCCGCTGCAGTGAGAAGCCCACGCCTCAGAACTGTAGAGTAACGCTGCTCACAGCAACTAGAGAGAGCCTGCATGCAGCAGCTAAGACCCAGCAGAGCCAAAAATAATTAATTAAAAACTGTAACCTAGAAGCATAGGTACCAGTATCTTTGTTAGGCCAAAGAAGAATGAAGTCCTTGAACAGAAAAAAAAAAAAGATAATAATAAGGATATTGAAGTGGAGAGAATAGCAATAGGTTGAAACTCAGGTGAGTTGGGTTGCACCTTAAGAGATCTCAGTCAGCACTTCTCTGAGGCGGGCGCATCAAGCAGCCAGAAAACCCAGGCCGCCTGGAAGGAGAGGAACAAGCGCAGATAGGACATCCCTGCCCGGGCTCCTGCAGACGTTGTGTCCCTCATCAGAGTGTGGTTCATGCACCACAACATCAGCTCCACTTCTAGGAGCTCTTAGAATTGCAGACCCTTGGGGCCATCCTAGACCTAAGTCAGAGCCTGCATTTTAACAACCTCCCAGGTGATTCATCAACACATTAAATTTGGGAGGCTGCTGATCCAACTACATGACAATCCAGAAGGTAGGTCTCTCTTTCTTTTACAGATGAAGAGACAGTTTCAGAGAATTAAGGTACTTGTCCATGTTCACTCTGAGCTATGATTCAAGTGCTAGCCCATGTGATTTGAAAGGCCTCACAATATCCACTTGAAAACCACTTCCGAGAAAGGGTTCACAGGAAATGGTTCACTGGGTGGCTTGGATCAGGGCAAGAATTAAAAGCATACGAGTGATGCAGAGAAGCAGGAACTAATAACACAATGTGTAGTAGTTTGGGGTATTTTTTTTAATTCACATTTATTTTTTTCTGCCATAGAGAAAAAGTATTATACGCATATGATAGAAAATTGGAACAATCTAAAACCTGTAAGAAAATTAAAACCACAGTGATCCTGCACATCAGAGGACTATCGTTAAGTGGCTTAACGAGCTTGAAGGTGGCTGCCTGCTCGGAAGAATGTCTGTATGTGTATGACTGAATCCCTTCGCTGTACAGCAGAGGTTGGCACAACACTGTAAATAAACTGTACTTCAATATAAAAAATAACAGTCCATCCTGGTTAGATCTGTCTGGGGGCTGGAAATCCTCAGTCTTTTGTGTTAAATTATGTTAGGTAGTTAGAATAGGAAACAGGAGTCCAAAATGGCAGTTGCTAAAAGACAAGGAAGGGAAAGGCCCGCAAAAATAGAACAAAGGAAGGTCAGAGGAAGGTCCGAGGACCGGAGTGAGGACCTCAGGGAGAACCAACAGCACTCCTGGCCAGCCCAGTTTACACAGGACAGGCCCATAGGGGGAGGAAAAGGCATAT